AAGGACTTTCTATATGCCACAGACTGGTATCCCAAAGGAAACTTACTGCATAGTCTATTCATCTTTGCTTGTCAGAAAAAGCAACACACAGTGGACTGAGATGCATGCTGCATACCTTTGTTCTCAATGAAGATTTATCACTCATACTAAAAACAAATCCTTAAGCCAGTGGAAAGGAGATGGAAAGTAATACAATTAAAAAAATGCAGTAAAATAGAAACAAGTAAAAATTATGTCTCTAATCAAATATTTCCTCTGGGCACTTGGCAACTATTAGGTGTTTTGGTGCAAGCTTAAGACACCTCACAACAGCCATTTATCTCCAACAGTGCAAACGAGGTTAATGGACTCATTTTCACTCTGTGATTCACTTTCTCTGCAGAAGGAGAAGGTTTTTTGTTTTATGCAGATAATTGGAAACAACAAAGAAACGTCATTCTCTAGACCCTAGTAGAAAGAAGTGAACTTCCTTTCCCAAAAAGAAACAAATTCAATACAAGAAAGAGAAGGAAAATAAAATCACTGGGGAGAGAAGAATAGTTATACTGAAGGGTAATAGGCAATTAGCAGCCACCCTTCCATGTACACCACCAGCACACACTCACAGAATCTACAGAAATGCCTCATCTTAACAGAGCTTCCGCTAACTCTTATGCTTTAATAAAACACCACTGCTGCCTGTCCCTTGGGAGGTTCTTAGTAGTAAGAAACAGCACAGTAGAGGCACAAAAAGACTTTAAAAAAATACAAACCAGAAAAACCAAACCAAACCAACCCCAAAGACTGAATTACTGAACATGATTTATTCTCTGAGAAATAAAAATATATATATATATAGACTCTTGTAATTTACTTTTACATTTTTTCAAATCTAGAACATTAGTTCTGTAGGTAGAAGTCACAAAACATTCCAATTTCCACATCTCCTCTACCTAAATATTGCTGTACATGTTTGTAAAAATCTGAGTTTGGTGGTCAATTGAGTTTGGTGGACAAGCATTTCTACCCAATAGCAACTCGTTTTGAGGGAAACAGAGAGTGTCTTATCAGGTCTGGCTTCTCTAACAGGCCAGCTTTCTCAGAATGGTAGCTGGAGGCTGCTACTAGACAGAGAGGTTGACAAGCCAGGCCCAGTACATCACTCAGTACCCAAATGAGCTATTTCTATGCTAATGCCTTAAAGTGTCTCTTCAGCATTCAACTGCCTACTGTACATACTTGCATGTACAAGGGGAAGGACCAGTCTGACTCCCAGGCTGCTTCCTGCCTGTGCCAACATTTCTAATGCCAGGAAAAAATGCACAATCATCCCATATCCCTGCATTCCCTGTTAGTTCTGTACTTATACTGGACTGAGACATAATCAAGTTCTAATAAAAATGCTGTGAGTACAATTAAGGACTTTTTCAGGCATCACTGCAAACCTACCCATATAAAAGCTTAATGTATGTGATTTGTCTGGAATGCTTTATCATTACATCTGCCATAGTACTGTTTTCTTTGCCCACTCAATCCATTCCCAGTTGTGAAAGACTGGCTATTTTATTATAAACCTAATATTATTGGATACTACCAGTGGGACAAAGTTATGACAACAATAAACAAAAATGATCATTACTCTCAAAAATAGACAGTCTCAGGAATTCACACTCGATATGTGGTACTTCTCTTATAGTAAAAGTTGTAGTTATTTTTACAGAAAAGGGTCTATCTTGTGTTTGCCTTACTCCTTTGAGGCAGCACCCATTTTATTGTAATTACTCTTCTCTTTAAAACTTCCAATATATTTTTGAGGAAGTATTATACTGCAGTGCAAAGAGCAACCTTTAAATTTTTTCTTCAACAGAGACAACACCACTGCCTATAGTATATATTTCCTATAATGACACCACCAGACCAGAATACAAAGACATAGACTTATTGTGAAATCAGGGAACGGGATAGTTTGGAGAGCAAAACGTTTGCATACATGCGGTATCTGTTTCAAGGATGAAACAGAAAAATCTAAACCAGAAGAGTTTTCAGAGCCTTCTAGAAATGCTGTAAAATCTCTCTGAACACAAATTCAAGGGACCTAGCTTTCTCAGTACTTTTAAAATCAAGAAATACAGTACTGGGAAGTGATGAGTATCATATCTTTAAAATTGATAATTTAACTTCTGCATCTGTGATACCTATGTTCAGATTTTAATAATGCAAAGGTTTAACAGTCCATACACCTGTAACTCTTGTATTCAGATCTCTAGTAAAGAAATCTACTGGATTCCTTTTCACATTGAAAAATTATCACCACTAAAGAACGATAATTCTGCTAGCCATTCTGCAGTGTGCAAAAAAAACCATACTACCTTCTGAATTCAAGAGGCAGTTGTCTCTTTTCCTAACCAATTATGCATATTTGTAGACTAAAAGCATTTAAGATTTTCTCATTTTATCATTTCTGAAAAAAACTAATGAAAACTTCTGTGACAATTAACAAGCAGTGCAAACATTTGAAGTTCCCCACTATTTCCACTTCTACATCCTCTTCTTGCAAGTATTGCTTATTAACTGCTATAACTTTAAGGGCTCACAAGGAAAAATAAGGAGGAACACATAAGTGTAGAGGGAATACAACAAAAAAACCCTTTGCCTCATAAGATGCAGATCATGAATATAAAGATTAGGTTTCTAATATGGACCCAAAGACTGCCTTTAAGTTGCAACTAATCTGTAATTAACAGATATATATAACAAAATAATTAACAAATGTATATATAGCAGTATTCATCTGGGAGTTTACTAAAATAAACGGGTTCCTCAGATCAAAGTCAGAAATAAAGCTTCTTCAGATTAACAGCTTAAGACATTTAAAATGAAAAAGCGCAGTGTTGCAAATGCAGAGTTCTTATTTTGAAATAAAAGTGGACTTGAAGGTTAGGACACTAATATTTCTGATCCAGCTCTAGAAGACTTTTCTGATTACAAAAGGATAATATGGAAAACCAAAAAACCCTATAGCTTATACAATAAGGACATGTATTTGGGTGAACAGATGTTGGAATGACACTTCAGGGACTTCATGATTGACTTTCATATCTCACTAGAACAATATCCACATACACACTATTTTTAATGGAAAGATGATGAATTATAAAGTACAGGTCAAAAATTATAACTAAAGCAGATTTCAGAATCCTACTGAAAAGACAACAAATCAAGCCAGATTTTGAATAAAAGGATATAAAAACTCTCTGGAGAAACTAGACAATCTATCCTTCACAGGCAGAGTCAGAGGTAAAAGACATTTCAGCAGAAATCAATCTCTCTCCAGAAATACAATACTAGTCTGGGGATTACACCTATTAAAATTAACAGAATTTAACACTGGATGCATTGTATATGGCATTTCTTTTCATTTTCTCCTATGTGTGCTTAACAGCTTCATTTAATGACAATGCTTCAGACTATTCTGAAAAATTGAAGGTACTATGTTTTGACAATAAAATACTTTTCAGCCTTTATCATGGCTATGCTAGAACTCTTATTTGAGGCAATATGATTTAAAAAATACCCTATTCAGGTTATTAGCTGAATTAAGGATATAGGAAAAGACACATCTTGCAGCAACAGGAAGTTTACCTCTTGGGACAGATCAACTTTAATTTGGTAATAATGAAAAGAGGGTAACCTTGTAAGGATATTTTTCCCTTTCTACTTACGGTACTTTATATGCCACCAACTTTTCTATCACTTGGGCAATGTTATGACTATATCTCCTATGACTATATCTCTTATGACTATGAAGATTGGCTGAGAAAGTTGGGACTCTTCAGCCTGAAAAAGAGAAGGCTGCGTTGAGACGTCATAGCAGCCTTCCAGTATCTGAAGGGGGCCTATAGGGATGCTGGGGATGGACTCTTCATTAGGGACTGTAGTGACAGGACAAGGGGTAATGGGTTAAAACTTAAACAGGGGAAGTTTAGATTGGATATAAGGAGGAAATTCTTTCCTGTTACGGTGGTGAGCCACTGGAATAGGTTGCCCAAGGAGGCTGTGAATGCTCCATCCCTGGCAGTGTTCAAGGCCAGGCTGGACGAGGCCTTGGGTGATATGGTTTAGAGCGAGGTGTCCCTGCCCACGGCAGGGGGGCTGGAACTTGATGATCTTAAGGTTCTTTCCAACCCTAACTATTCTATGATTCTATGATTCTATTCTATCTAGTATCACATTTATATTTTATTTTGATTAGACATGTAACTTTTTAGTTTGGCTGAAAAAAAATAAGATCAGTTTGAAATGCTGATAAATTCTACTTTCAAAATTTATGTTTTCTGCCTGAAGCTTTCATGTGCAACCTCACACATGTGGGATGCTTCAAAAGTACAACTTGCAACTTTTTGATCTCAGCATTTGAGCTTGCTCAGATCACAGTATCACAGTATGATAGAGATTGGAAGGGATCTCAAAAGATCGTCTAGTCCAATCCCCCTGCCGGAGCAGGAATACCTACATAAGTTTACACAGGAACGTGTCCAGGCGGGTTTTGAATGTCTCCAGAGAAGGAGACTCCACAACCTCCCTGGGCAGCCTGTTCCAGTGTTCTGTCACCCTCACTGAGAAGTTTCTTCTCAAGTTTAAGTGGAACCTCTTGTGTTCCAGTTTGTACCCATTGCCCCTTGTCATATCATTGTTTGCCACTGAGAAGAGCCTGGCAGTATGAAAAGTATCATGTTTGATTTTAAAAACCCTCAACAACTTCCTCCTACAGGACAGTAACACATGAAAAATAATTCTGACATTCTAAATAGACTTTTTAATATAGAACTTTAAATGAACTTTTAAAAAAAATCCAAGAGTTTTGATGGCCTAACATAAAAATACAAGAAGAATAAGCTACCATTTGTGTTAAGATCTACATGAATTAATTATATCCTGAGCTGCATTTCACCTAGTATGTAGATTAGAAGTAACAGCATTTTAAGCAGATATTTGTTGATCTTTTGTTTTTTTTTTTTTACCTCCAAAGAAGTATTTCTCTCCAGTCTTGACTTGTAGAGGGCTGTTTGTTCGCACAGCTGAAGCTTCATCGCCATCAATGGTGAGGACAGCAAAATTTTCCTTAGCTAGGAATTGGACTTCATGCCACTGCCCATCATTGAGACCAGAGCCTAAGAAAACAAAAGTCATTGGAATGTTTTACTTATTTCAGTCTGTATTATGTCTCTGTCCCAGGGTCATTATATAAGTTTTAACGCAGGCTACTGCAGAAAGGAAATAACTTTAGTGTCATATAAAAATCATTACTGTTGAAGTCACTATTACACAAAAAATAACACTGTGACATAAATACAAGTCTTGGAACTACTGAAGTGTCCATACTACCAGTTATAACTGTACCTAACTATACAGATGTTATCACTCACCTTTGCCATCAAAAGGCCATATTGTACATTTTACTAATAAAGAGTACCTCTTAATTGTTTTGATGATCAAGCTCAGAAAGAAAAGATATTAATTTATCTATGAGCTACAAGCCAAAAGGGCACATTATGCTTCTGATTGCTGCCTTTATCAAAAGCTAGATATTTCCAAGAAAAAGGAAATTAAAAATAGGAGGGGAAAGGTTCACATTCACAGCAAATCCTGTACTGGGGTGTGGTGCTAGTGACAGAAGATGAAGACATTATTACAGAGGCACTGAAAAAACAGCAAACATCTGCCAAAACCTGAAATCTTAAGCGAGCACCACCCTCCCAATACTGACGGCAGTGAAGCAGATGGATCTGATCATTCATTCAGATCTTTATATAAAAGACAGAATTATATACTCCTTACATTGTCTCCAGCAGCATCTGGCAGGAAGCCAGTTTGTCCTTCAAGTTAAACTGTCATTGAAGAGCTGTGAGTACTGAGTTTGTTCTGGGCATTACTGTGCAGGCAGTTATGTTGGGTCAGCAAGTAAATAACAAACACTTTAATAGCAAACACTCTAGTAAAAGCACATCACTCTTACAAGTGATGTTTTCTCCACTGAACAAAGGTGCTAAAATGTCATTTGCCAAAATAAACCACAACACAATGCAGTAAACTGTTCCTAACATTAAATGTGATGCAAAATATCAGCAGAAGCATAATGGAAGATAAACTTCCAAAATATCAGAAAGAATATTATCTTCTACGAACAAGGAATAATAGTCATGGCGAACAGGTAAACCCAAACAATTACTATTTTTTCCCACTGCTTCCATGTGTTTAAGATACAAGATCTAGTCTTCAAATAACATGGAGTGCTATACCTTGGAATATTCGTTAGCATGAATAAAAGCCTCTTGAAAAATGTATCAGTAAGAAATGTTTCTACCAAAGCTTGTTCCATCTAGTGTAAGAATAGATGAAAGACCTAATACACTAAATATGAGAAAAGCTTTCTGTTTGCAAGTCTTTTTCTTGTTTTCATTACATTCAACATACAAGGAAGAAACAGAAAACCACACAATTACAATCCAGATAAAATTTATTTCAACTGATAATAAACTTGGGAATGAGGATATACCTTCCTACGGAGTTCCAAAATTGTTGTAACGTGTTATTACAACTTAAGTTTACCTGAACATACTTAAACCCAAATTTTCCAGCTGGTTCCGGCATTATTTCTCCTCTTTTGCCCTCATGTCCTCTGCAGTGCTGCAGCCAAGCGAAGGATGCTCCACAGCTCTGTGTTATTTGTGGTGTCTTTTATACAGACTTCATTGCTAAATGTTAAGATACGCAGGGAAAGCGCCCCAGACATTAACTCTCACCAGGTGAAGTAAATAAACTCAAAACAACAAACAGCATCAACCTTTAATGGAAATGGAGATTTTTCCATTTTTATTTTTTTCCTTAAAAATCCATGATTCTTTCCTTAAAATTGATAGAATATTCTAAACTTGACAGAAAGGAAACAAAAATAGGCAGGAAATTAGTTCTGAAGAAAAGGCACATCTGGTTTAGAAAGCCACAGGAAAAGATCTCACCTTTCACAGAGCTGAAACTGACTTTCTGTGTTCATCTGGGTGTAAGCACCTGTGGGCTGCTGACAGTGTTTTATACCACGATCCTTATTTATGGAAAATGTACCCCACTGCCACGAAACACCACAGGGCTGTTTGGCCTCCTCTGCAGGCCTTCCATGGCTCCCAGACCAGCCTCTGCGCAGGAGCTGGAACAAAACCTCACACAGGTGTGGTGGGAAACGGAGCTGTGGCTCAGACACATCTCACGTTCTCCTCAGGCTCTCGTGAGTTAAGCGGTGAGGGTCTTCAGTTCGGCTGAAGCACAGACTTGTACCGGGTTTTACGCCTAAACGCTGCCTGGGGCCGGCGAGGTCCCGCTGAGGTGAGGTGAGGCGAGCCCAGTCCGGCTCCATCCGGGCACAGCCCAGCCCAGCCCCTCAGCCGCGGGCGGGCGCCTCGTGCACAGCGCTCTCGCGGCCGAGGAAGGGCGGGAAGTGCTGAGGGGAGAAGGGTGAGGAGCGGCCCGGCCAGCCCCGAGGGCAGAGCGGCAGGAGGGGCTCCCGCCGCCACCCGCAGCGGTTCCACCGAGATTCCCCGCCGGAGGGAGCGGGTGGAGAGCTCCTGAGGGAGCTGCGGCCTGCGCGGAGCCAGAGATGGAGCCGCAGAGAGAAGCTACTGTGTCCCGCCACAGTCCCGCATCCCCAGGGGGCTGCTCGGGAATAGGAGGTAGGAGCTACGGTAGTGAGGAACTGAAGCTGAGCTTGGGAGAGGAAAGGTTTTAATGATTGTCTTTGTTTCTACTACCTAAATCTATTTTCATTGTCAAAAAGTAGAAGAAGTAGCCTAAACCATGAGCATACATTAAAAAAAAAAAAAAAAAAGCCATCATTTCTGTCACACCCAATTTGTGAGTTAAAGTCCCTGACACACTTTTTTACTGGGGGAGAGATTTGTCCGACTCGGCATGGACTTCTGAACATCTTAGAAAGTCCCAAAACATTCCTACCTTCTTAAAGTACAGAAACAGGTGATGTGATCTGCTGAAATACCAAGTGAAAATGGTGCACAGTATGCTAGCTAGCCTAAGAAGTGCACAGGTACTCCTATCTGTAGTATGCTCTCCCAGTGTGCAGTAAAAACACCCCAAGCTCACCGGCATCACACTGAAAGAAAGGAATGTTGTTGTGAGTCAAGGAAAGAAGCAGGTTGAGGGAAAGTGGATCTGCTGAGCAGACCAGATAGGAATGGCAATATGAGGAGAGCTGTAGCAAAAACTAATGCCATGCACTGCTTCTGTGTGCACAGCATTTAGCAAAATATACTAAGGGGGTTTGCTATTCTCTCTAAGCTGCTTGCTAGAAGCAAGACAGTATAGAGGCAGTATTGTCAACCCTCTTTCCTTAACATGTTAATGCTCTTCCAGGGACTTAAATTGAAATACACAGTATATTCTTCCATAGGGGCTAAGTTTGTACAGCTGCATTACTGTAGTATTTTAGTACATGCCTCATGTATATTTCTACTTGGACTTAAAAGTCAAACTTAACTGAGATCTTCTATAAACCAAGACTCAATATTATGAGTAGAATAAGGCTCTATTAAAAGAATTTTCAGCTGGAAAGTTTAGAAAGGACAACATCCCAAATGCACAGCAATGATTTCTCACTGCAGTTTGAGCTCTCTCATCTGAGCTGATACATACATTTATTTGCATTCTTTTTTTTTTTTTCTTACTGTAACTTTCTGGTATACAAGTTGAGAAAAAAATAACAACCCAACCACATACTGCTGCCACCAGAAATTCCCTGCCGAGTTCTGAAAAAGCTGGTTTCATATGCAAATTAAATATGTTAATGAAATGCATTCTCCCTATCTAGGATTTGTGTTTAAATGACATTATTTTAGAAGTAGGACTCTTGAGGTAGGCACTTTGATTGAACAAGAAGAAACAGATGTTTTGCTTATTATAGACATAGAAGAAGGACTAGATTAACGAATACCAAAAGAGTACAAGAGTTTAATGCATAATGAACAACTTAAGATAACAGCTGGTTGAGTTACATCTTCAAAAAAACTATAGTAGCAAACCTGTCAAATTCTTCTATAGTTAATCTTGTGCAATCAAATATCCCTATACAGGTACTGACCCAGGGAGGGGCTACTAACAAGTGCTAGATTATACAGTCTGCTGATGCACACAGACAAAGTTCATCTGAAGTCAACAGCATCACATCTGCTACATCAGAACAGAACCTCATGGTAATTTTGATTTATGACTGTAGCTCAGTTTAAGAATAAAACAGGGATATTATAGTATCTGCACTCCATGAAGCACTGAAGTCACCTAAGGCTATGCAGCTGCAAACTGGTCATTAGTTCCTACTGTTGTAGTAAACATTTTATATTGTAATTTCTTGTAAGTTTTTAGAAGATGAAGCCATTAATATTCAGGATGGGGAGACTCCAGAGCAGAACAGGGAGAAGGAGCAAACCTGAGAGGTGCTGGAAGCAAGGAGGCTTTACTGGGTATTCAGCAATGAGTGCATGGATTCCCTGTAAACCAGGAAACCACAAACCCAGTCAAAGTTTCTGTGCCGATGCAAGACCCATCCTGTCTGAGGGTGAATGCAGAGAGGGAGAGGTTGTTTTATCACTGCTTTTACTGTAGCTTGCCAGCCCCATGTTTCATCTGAGGATTGTGGTGTAGTTGCTATTCCTGCCTAACCCCTTGCTAATTCAGTACAGTTTTGCACCAGTATTTCTATGAGAAAACAAGCCAACTGCATTTTGTTTGAAACGTTCAGTTGTGTTCAAATATACAGCAATATATGCCATTAATATTCAAATGGAAAAAGAAAAAACAATCACCAGGATGTAATTACAAGAGCTGTGCTTTTCTGTGTTTAGCTAATTGTATTTTAAAACTGGAAAGACAAAATCACAGCTCTTCCTATGCTAATATTTTACAAAGTATGCAATACGCCATATTTATAATCTGTTTTAGGATTTATGATTCAGAAAAGTCCTTCTCATTTTTGGTTTTAACAATTTTTTCATCTATCCAGATGAACAGTAAGCTAAGACTGTAGCAAATGTAGCCCTTGAAGGGATTTTAATGATGGAAAACCCTGCTCTTCAATAAAACCAAAAGTGTTTGGAAAAATTTCATCCTC